ACAGGTCTCATTAAACGAGAACTATGTTTATTCTATTGTTAGTAATCAGTCACTATTAATGTTAATGATTTTAAATGCTGATCCCTTTATTAAAAATATTAAAAATATACTAAAATCAAAGTCTGTTTCTTTTGCCCAGGTTAATTTTACTTGGAAGTCGGCAGGCAGCCTCAGGGTAGAAGCTGTTCCTCAGTCTAGTGGTTCTACACTTAATGCTCCTCAACCTCCTTCCTGAGGGGAGCGGGCCAAACAGTGTGTGTGCTGGGTGAGTGGGGTCCTTCATGATGCAGGTGGCCCTCTTCCTGCATCTGGAGGTGTAGATGTCTGTGATGGTGGGGAGACTGACTCCAACATCTTCTGTGCAGCCTTCACCGCTCTCTGCAAAGCTTTTTTTTCTGCAGCTGTGCAGCCTCCGTGTCACACGTTGGTGCTGGAGCACAGGATGCTCTCCACTGCACACCTGTAGAAGGAGGTGAAGACTGAGCTTTATTGATCAGGCTGGTGGTGTTGTTGCCCCAGCTGAGGTTATCATTCAGATGCACACCCAAGTACTTGTAGCTAGAAACCACTTCCACCGCAGATCTTCCGATGTTCAGGGGGTGTTCAGGGTATCATTGCAGGGAGTGCTGTTTCTTTAATTGTAACTGGTCAATTATTTTTTTTCCAGAATTAACACATTTTTTAAAAATATTCACTCTTGTTCGTGTGGCAACAAACATGATCACTTTCCCAAATGAGAAGGGTACTTGATGACCTCTTGCTGTGCTACATATGATTTCAAGCAGTACGCCGAAGTCCCCCGTCTCTGATGGATCTGAGTATTGAACGTTTGTACTTTTCAAGATGAGTGTTTTTCTGGACTGGAATTGAACAGGGAACACAACTTTAATGTATAGGTGCAAGATATTCAAGTGGGGAGGAGTTATACTTTGGAGAACAACAGAGGGAGTTCTTTTATTTTTATTTTTTGCTTGTCCGAGGCAGAGTAGACTGATGGATCTTGGTAAGTGGAGGGAGCAGTTTTAACCACCAGCAGGTGCAATGGAGTGAGGGGGGGCAATGGTGGCCTTGGTGGCCTTGGTTACCATAATCTTCGGCCACCTCAGTCATTTGAGAAAACTATACTCCATCCATCCATTATCTTTACCCGTTTATTCCATTTTGGGGTCACGGGGGTCGCTGGTGCCCATGTCCAGTAATCACTGTGCGAGGGGCGGGGTACACCCTGGACAGGTCGCAAGTCCATCACAGGGCCACATAGAGACAAATGAGACAAACAACCATTCACTCTCTCACTCACACCTAGGGACAATTTAGAGTTACCAATCAGCCTAACATGCATGGGTTT